ATGAACTTTACATATATTAAACATGGAACTATTCATAATTATATAATTAGCATAATAAACAAATATATTTTAGATTTACTCCATATTTCTTGTTCTATTTAAAATAGCATTTTTTTCTGACCATATATGTTCATTTTAGAAAAAAAATAGAAAATATCCAAAGATATGAGAATTTTAAAAAACCTGACATTTTACAAGCTAGAAGTAACCAGTGTTACTATATTTTAATCTCTCAGTCTGTCCCTATTTATTTTCTGTACGAATTATTTTCATACTATGTGAAGTCTTAAATTCTGCTTTCTCTTGGCATCACATGAGACTTTTCTCAGGCCATTAAATATTCCTTAGAAAAATAGTTTTACTGGAAGCATTCTACTTTATCATATAGATAAATATAGATATATTATGATTTATTAATAAATTTATAAATACTGTTTACTGAATTCTTTTCAATGTTTACATTGGCAAGAAGCTTTTATCAATATACATGCATCTATTGAAATATCTTAGTATTGTTCATAGAGTGGCTTCATTATCTAGATAACTTAAGCTTATTTTAAATATTTTAAAGCTTTCTTTACTGGTTCACTTTTCATGGAATACCTTATAAATACCTTTCATACCTTTTCATACTGTCATCTTCTTTAACAAAGAGTTTTGGCCACAGTTGAACATTCTTTGGGCCAAAGTCGTATTTCTAAACGTCATTTGTTGTGGTTGGTGGAAATTGAATGATGCTCTAAGGTTTGTAGAGTGAGGCGGCTGCCAGTCTCCACAGCAGAAGTCCTCAGGCTAATGATGATGGTGAGGAAGGGGAGGATTGGTACTATTTTCTTATCTTTTATCTCTGCTATCAAGTGAGACTTCTTTCTTCTACCAGTACATCCAAACTACTTGGGCTCACGGGCCCAGCCGCTCCGCGGCACGTGGGATCTTCCCGTACCGGGGCACGAACCCGTGTCCCCTGCATCAGCAGGCGGACTCTCAACCACTGCGCCACCAGGGAAGCCCTCAAACTACTTTTAAACTAACATTTGAATTACTGTCAGTTCTACTATAAAACTTTTTTTGAAGATGTAAATATTTTTTCTAATGTGATTGATATATTAGGAAAAGATTTCAGGATAATGCAAATTTTGTGTTTGCTTATGTGTGATTTTGCCAATGAGAAACATTAGGTGAACACAGAAAACTATACCCAAATGAATTCAGCTGTGTAAAAATACACAGAACACGCACACACACGCTCGCGCGCGCGCACACACACACACACCACGCGAACATCCACCGGTGATCTCCATTTGCCTCTGTGTTAAGAGCCACACCATCCATTTAGTAGCACAACCTTCTGCCAGATTTCAGATCACTCCTTCTACCCCTTTAAAATAACCACAAGCTGTAAGTAGTCAGGGCTCACTTTCACAAGCAAATGTCAGGTCCTCTTCAAGATAAGTATTTTATTTGTGTATGTCTTAACCACTGAACAGTGTATATGTCTCTGAATGGCTGGTTCCTTTTCAGCTTTTGCAACCCAGCAGGACCCTATGGGGCTTTCCCAGAATAGACCCCCTCCTCCCATGTCTTCTACTTGCCTTTTGCGTGTAGAAAAACTTTAGTCAAAGAATAAGTTTAATCAGAGACGTGAGAAAATGCAGAAAGAAAGGGAAACTGTGAAGCGAGACAAAATAGTATCAGTTCAGCCATTAAACAAAGTCAAGGACTTTTAGTGCCTTCTCAAGGGCTATAGACATTCTGAGCCACGTCCTTTGAGCTGTTTTGCAGATAAGGAAACCTCCACCAGGTGGAGGAATTTAACTGCATGCTGCCCACAAGCACGTAGACCCCAGACCCATCAACCAGAAAGTTGATGATGTTAACTCCCGATTACCTCACCACCAACCAATCAGAAGAATGTCCACGAGCTGATCACATACCCCACAACCGCCCCCCCACCCTGTTTTTAAAAACATTTCCCTGAAAGCCTTCAGGGAGTTCAGGCCTTTTAGGCACTAGCTGCCTGGACTCCTCGCTTAGAGCCCTGCAATAAACACTGCACTTTCCTTCACAAGCTGGTGTCAGTAGATTAGCTTTACTGCACGCGGGCAAGTGGACCCACGTTTGGTTCGGTAACATTTTCAGATCTCAGAGAAGCCAGGGACCAACTCTCCCCTCTCCCATCCCCAGTTACTCTGCTCCCTGTTACGTCTTTTTTTTTTTTTCTTACCTATAAATATCCTAAAATTATAAGTAGGATACCATTGTATATGTTACCTTAAATTTTATTATTTGTCCCTATTTTAGAATATATGCCCATGAAGGCAGATATCAGCCTTGTTCAGAGTGGTATTATCATCACCTAAAATGTTTGTACCACATATGGATTAATAATTATTTGTATTTTATAAACCAAAGATCCCTTCTCATGTATTTAACATGGAAACTATAACAGTTATTTCTTTATATATGTCCATCTGGAATTAATTTGGGATTCCCCCATTCTGAAAGTGTGAGCCTAACATGTATTTTCAAAATACTCTTAACCTCTAAGAAATAGGAAAACAAATTACATCATGATTCAGAAACCAAACTTAGGCCTTTGTTTTTCATGCTACTTGCTAGCCAGTTTTTTTTCTAAACTGCAATTATTTCACTTAAATTAATATCTAAGAATAGCTCCCTGAATACAGCAGCTTGAGTGGCAACAGAGAGGAAGGGCAAGGACATGCTGATTCTTGACAAATGACCAACTGAACATGTAATTAGAGGTGCTAGCTAGGTAAGGGGAGTCGGACCAAGAGGCCACCTCAGAGGTCTTTGCTAAATGAAGTGGACTTGCTCACCACACTAAACTGAAAATCACACTAAACTGAAAAGGGCTGAGTTTCAGCAAACATTTATCTAGTGCCTCCTAATGGTGATGTCCAGTGCTGTCAGCTGGAGGCTGAAGGAGTGAAATGAAAAATAGAAGAGCATAGAATTTGGTGAGAAAGGTGTAAAAGGACATACGTAAACATAATGCCACATTTTATTTATTTTTTAACATCTTTATTGGAGTATAATTGCTTTACAATGGTGTGTTAGTTTCTGCTTTATAACAAAGTGAATCAGCTATACATATACATATGTCCCCATATCTCCTCCCTCTTGCGTCTCCCTCCCTCCCACCCTCCCTATCCCACCCCTCTGGGTGGTCACAAAGCACCGAGCTGATCTCCCTGTGCTATGTGGCTGCTTCCCACTAGCTATCTATTTTACATTTAGTGCCACATTTTAAATACGCGTTGTTTAAAGGGGGATACGTGAAAGAATGGCACCAAGAAAGGAACGCCAACTATTTAATAAGTACCTTTGGGTTGAAGGAGATTTGTTGGACTTGACGCGGGCAGAACTTGAGAGAGGTGCTGTGCCAGTCACCCATCTGTGTTCTCAAGTCCACTTCCCACTCCTCCTTGTTCTACTTAGTAATTCAGAAAACTACATCTCCCAGGCTCCACTGCCCACTGGCTTGGGCTGGGAAACATTGGCTGGAGATGGGAGGCCTGGAGCAAGCTCCTCTTCCCCCTCTTCTCTGCTTGGGCAGCGCTGCTGGCAATGGCCATGTCTCCTCTGTGGCTCCAGCTTCTGCCAGACACATCCTCCCTGACTTCAGCTTCCATCTGGTGGTCCTGGGTCCTGGGCTCTAGGGATCCCTTTGTCCTTCCAGCCCAGGGAAGATAGAGCCTTCCTCTTGATGCTCATCTTGGAGTCACTTCACCTTCCCCTATTTGGCATCTTGGCTCTTCAGTTACTCAAGCAACAAATTGCCTGAATTAAATCCCCTCTGTCTGAAATCCCTAGGAATGACTTTTGTTTGACTGCCTGTACCGTCAGTGACACAGGAGATAAGCTGCCCTTGATGGAGAAAAGCAGTATAGGCTCTGGCCTGGAAAATAACGATGGGTTGGAAGGAAGACTTAGTCTGTGGGAAAGGAAAGGTGAAAGGCCACCTAAAAAACAACAGAAATTCCAATTGCGTGCTGAGACCGTCCTAATGAGGCAATGCCATTCCAAGCCTGGCAGGTCTTTGAAAAGGCTAAGGAGGGTTTTGTGCCTGCACGAATGTTTCAACCAAATACAAGGACAAAATGTTGACCAAGAAAAGATACCACAAGGCCAAAAGGATTTGGATCCAGTCCACCTCTTTATTTTCCACCAAGTTTAAATCAGCTATTTGGGACTCTTGGAAATGACTCACCCACTCAGAATACCAGAGCTGGAAGGTGTCCTTTTCCTTCAAATTGTATGCATGAGGACACTAAAGCTTTGCTCAAGGTCACACAGCTGGTGGAGCTGGAAGGAGAACTCCACTGTCCTGATTCCAGTATCAAAGCCATCATTACTCTAGCATTTGAGCTCTTTCCACTCCCCAAGTTTCAGTTCATTACATGCAGGTTTGGTCCTTCAGTAACTACAAGCTTCTGAACAAATTTGAATGGGTTTGTTCCATATCAATAATTTCTCATTTTGAATGAACAATAGTGAGAATGTTACTCATTCCAATGTAACCAGCTTGGAGTGATTTTTTTAAATATTATAGAATAAAGTAACAGTAAAGCAACAGATATTACACAGTCACCTGAAATGCAGGTTAGAATTTAGGTGGCAGAATATATATCCTACGTTGATAACAAAAAACCCAAAACTCCCCCAAAACCAAACCCCTCAAACCTGTAGTGTTTACTAAATTCTCATGCAATTAGTCTTTATGAAACCCTATAGATGCATCGCTTCTATATCTGGACTGAACACCAAAGTTTGGAATAAAATAAACACCTTGAGGCATAGACTTCAGAGACATTATCTGTTTAATAAATATGACTGTAAAAGCAATAAACAAGAGCAATTATACATTACACTACATAGTATTTAACAAAAAATACATCAAAAAGTCATTTTAAAATTAGAAGTAGTTCAATACTATAAGAAAACTTTCTTTCTTTTTTTTTTTTTTTTAATTGGCTTCCTATAAAAATAAGTTGGCAAATGAGGGAATTTCAATGCTCAGTTGGAATCCTGGAAAACACAGAACAGCTGCCAAGCACCCCATTCCTCTCAAAGTTGCTGTTTGGAACTTCTGAAAAAAAGCAAAGCAAACCTCTGCATTTTGGACAGTGAATCCAATTAAAAATAAGGCAAAGGAGAAAATGTTGGTTGGGTAGTTCAGGGTAGAGCACGCACAGTTTGCCTTCCGGGATTTTGGAAAACATTGCAATATCAGATTTGTAGCTTGCCCTGAATCTTACCTTCCCCATCCATCCCTCCCCACCCATTCCTCTGGCCTCAAGCCTACCAAACTCCTCATTGTGTCTGCACCTGCTGTTGTTGAGTAGGTAGGCACTTGGGTCCCTCCCATTGGCAGCTTCTCATTACTACCTTCTCTTCGGGATTGAGCTGGCATGGCCTAGTACAGTGGTTCTCCAACTTTAGTGTATTTCACAATCACCCGAAGAGCTTGTAAAAACAGATTGCTGGGCCCCAACCCTGGAGTTTCTAATTCAGTAGGTCTGGGGTCAGTGGGACCCAAAATCTGTGTTTCTAACAAGTCCGAGGTGATGCTGATACTGCTGGTCTGGGTACCACGCCTTGAGAAACATGGAGCTAGATCATAAGAATAATAAGGTCCCCTCTGAGCAGTACTTTGCCTCACTAGTCTCCTACAGGTGGGAGGGAGCTCTGAGGAGAGGCACATGAGGACCCTGGAGATGCTGAATCTAGAACCAGCCATCTCTGATCACTTTCCAAAACGCCAGGCATCTCATGTCCACCTCTATTTTAGGTTAGGACTTACAAGCCCTTCTTCGTTATGTCTTCTCATGTATTCATTCATTTCTTCTTTCAACAAATAACTTTCTTAATACCTACTCTAGGCAAGGCACTGTGCTAGATTGAGTGTTATTCCCTTTTTCATAGTTTAACAATGAAAATTATTGAACTGCAACTCTGAGGACTCCCTGTACTGTTGTGAATGAGCCTCTTTTGGTTTCCAAACACTCTGTTTTCCAGATAAAATTTGGGAGGCTCCAACTGAAGAGATTCGATGAGGATGTTTCCCATGGGATAGGAAGCCTGGCAGGTCAGGGATCATTTGAGTTCTACAAATAGACGGCTGCCTTAGGCATAATCCGTTTCCCACATTCATACGGAGCATCTTCAGCCATAAAATCTTCTGCTTGATTAACTTCTGACTGAAGTGTCGCTACTCTTCCCCTACTTGAGCTACACAAGGGCAGTGGTTGTCAGGATCTTTAGGGCACCCCCATTGTCCCCAGGGCCCTGTTATACCCTGACGCTGGCCTGGGGACATGGCCAAGTAGGAGGCTACACTCTGAGAGGTCTTTTGAAACCACTTTCTCCTACATTTTAGAGTGGGCTTTATCCAATCCATAATGCTCCAAGGGCTCCTGCTTCACATACTTTTGTTTCCCTCTTTCTCTGAACCTTCTTTCATGATGGCCCTGGGAGAACTGGGATTTCTTCATGCTTTGAGCCCATCCGCTTGAGTCTGATAACTCCTCCCCTTTATGCTTATTAAATTTTCCTTTGCTGATACTATGTTCAGAGATCAGAGAGCACACATGTAAGAAGTCTAGGGTCATCTTACAATAATCACAATCCCATCCTAATATAAGACAAGACCTCCGTATAATCTCAAGACTTTTTGACACTCAAACATCAGATCCATTAACCTGCTTCTTCTTCTGCTTAACATCGGTTTCATTTTACAAATACTTTCACTCCACTGTGAGAGGGGAAATACTGGGTAATGGCGACCCTCACAGGAGGAAATTGCCCTGCCACATAGTAACACGTTCAAAACATTTCTCACAAGAATCTTCTGGAATCTGACTGCAGGAGACTTTTGTTAATGTGTGACAAAACCACTATTCATCTGTATGCTTTCTTTTCTAAGGTACATGGGCCAGGTTTGAATTGCTTTGCATATCTCAACTCTTTCACACACATTATATGTTTCCGGGGGGAAAGGCAAGGATATTTGGAAGAGGCAGGTCTACAGGAGGATACAAAAAAATAATAATAATACATGAAGGTAAACCCTGCAGGGCAGGATGCTGCTTGGTCAGTGTGTATGGAGGCTGCATGCATGGGCGTGTGCAAAGTTGACAGAGAGATCATTAGCTTTGGGTGGTGGAGGCAGGGTTGCCAGAGGCGAGGGCAGTATTTAAAGAACATCAGGATGAATGCCCAGAATCTAGCAACATGTTTGGGAAGAAAAGGCAGGAGCAGTTGAAGGATAACTTGGGGACTGGAAGGAAGAGACACAAAGACATTGACAGATCACGACCACACGTGGAGAGCAAACAAATGGGAAGGTAAGAATGCGGGTAACTGGGATTCTGTTTTCTACACAGGGCAGGAGTAGGGAAAGCTACAAGGGGAAGCTATCGTGATGGGAAGCGGGGAACAGGAAACACAGGTCCACTTTTGACACTCCTGCCGGACTGCCTTCCTTCTTTCCCTATTCTGCCTGCATCCATGGAACTTGAACTTGCTTCTTCGTCCCTGTGGCCGTACAGAACGGAGAAGGCAACCTGTGGCCCCTGCCGGCCAACAGAGCTCCCAAAGATAAGTTAGAAGGGAAAAATGGCAACAAGTAAAGTGGAACAGAGAAACAGCCCAGGGTTTCAAACTCCTGTGCATGTCTTTGTGTCTTGTGAAAAGGGCTGGGGTAGCTAATCCACCCATCAGCCTGTAGTGCTAAAATAGCTGTTAAGTCTAGAGCCAAGAATATTTCCAAAAATACATGCAGATTTCCTTGGCCTATATATGTTAGGAATTTTCTACAAACACAACCAATCAGAAAAAAGAGAGAGGAGAAGAAAGGGGGAGGGGAGTGTTTTTTCCATTAAAATAGAGCACCTGTACACTGCCCCTCCAAGCATGTTCTCAAGGTACTGTCCGCATGCACAGGCTTAAAGCTAAAAACCCTTGTTGTCTGTGTCTGAAGGATTAAAAAGTCCCGATGCAGTGAGTGTTTGTTTGTCTGTTTGTTTAGATTTTGATTGTTTTTATTTTATTTGTTTGCTTTTGTTTTTACTGGCGTCCTCCAGTCAAACATTTACATAGGTAGGGGTTTCTTTTGTGCTTTGATTCCCAGCAACTATGGAAATACTTCCTGGCAAAACAGGAAACAGAACAACAAAGAAAAAAACACAAAGTTAGTGGTCATGGAGAAGGATGCACTTGACAAGAGCGAAATTCTTTCCTGATCAGCAGGTCGCCTGTAGCCTTTGGGGGTTTTCCTTAAATGGCAAATTGATTCCCAGCAGATCCCCGCTTTGGCGTTGAAGGTGGAGTGGCGTGTCTTGCTCTTTGCAATCGGAGAGATGAGTCACCAGGTTGAGTAGAAGGGGAGGAAGGGGAGGGTAAAGCTACTCTCCTAAGAGAAAACGTGTAACACTTACTCATTTAATGACACTGGCAATGGAAAGGTGTCAGAGACGGTATAACGTGCTGGGAGCTCTTCCTGGCGAAGGAGGGATTGCTACTTTGATAAAGCGAACAGCGGCTGTGCTTCATACCCCATGGAAATGGGACTGAAAACCAAATGACCCACAAAAATGCACTTAGAAGCTTTAGAAGTAAATAGGGTGAACGCTTCTCTGGACTTGAAGACAGAAAAGCCTTTTTCTTTTTAACCCAAAGCAATTACGCATTTCTCACCGTCTCCCCAAATAAGAGGAAGCACACTGTGAAAACTGGACACCAGATGCAGGGCCATTGTTATTATTACCTCTGATATGAGCCTGGCAGCACATTTAAATTTCGCCTTAATACAGCCACAGAACGTTCCCATGTTCACTTAAAGAGAAGGCTCCGCTTCCCTTTAAGTACTCATTTTTTTCCCCAGGTACCAGATTAACAGTCATAGGACGTTCTAGGTGATTTGGCATTATCACATCAGAGTGAAGCATGAATGCTTATATAATAATTTATCCATCAGAGTCAGCAATGCAGGGTCTAGATGGGAACATTTACAGCTTCAAGTCCTAGGGTCATCAGACAGGAGGAAACAAGGAGAGAAATGGATCACAATGGTGGCCCCATGGGTTTATCTAACTTCCTGGGAAATTCCCTCCACAATAAATAGTAGAACTTAGCAATGACCCTGAGACTCTCTATACCTAGCTGCTGGCTTCCCATGCTTCCTCCCCAGACAGAGAGTGAGCCCTAATGAATTACGCTGAAATCCAGTTTTAAGACTCCTGGTAGGGCACAGGTGAAAAGGAGGAAGAAATCTGCCAATCTGCTCTGTCACAGTCTAACCCTCCAGCACTCTCTCTCAGGAAACCCCACTCCTGAGATAAGTTCTGCCAACTTCATGGCTCTTGAATTCTCAGGTTCCATGTTTCCTGGGGGGCAGTTTTTGATTACTGCTAGATTTTAAAAAAATCCCAGGGTGATCAGTCTGTCTTTCTTCTATGCATGTTCTGGAGCCGTGTGCCCTCCTTAGAGCTGTCTCCAGGTGATGCTGCCACAGCTTGCTCTGGTCATTATACACCCTCAAACCATGCCCAGCCCTCCAGACCAGCATATCCAGCCTCTGAGGCCTGCCCTTCTTGTGTATTGTTAGAACGAACACTTTGCTCTTTGACCATGAACACTTGAAGCCCAATGTTTCAGCAAGGGTTTTTGAAAAAAAGAGGAATAAACTCATAAGAGAAAAAAAAAACAATAGGAGCAAGAAAGGTTTTTTTTTTTTTTCTCTCTAATGGAAAGAAGCAGGGAAAGAGGCATCTTAGCTGTTTCTCTCAAGGGTGTTAGAGCAGAAAAAGTGGTTACTTCAAGCCAGGAAGGGGTTAGAGAGAGAGCCAGCCACTGACTACTCAGGCTGAACAGCTGAGGGCTGCCAGGAATCATTTACCTATGAGCTGGGACTCCACCTTCTCATCTATCAGCTGGCCAGGCCGCCTGAGCTCAGTCTGAGGGATACAGGGCCTGCTTTCAGGGTGACTGACTTGACTGACCATCTCTTGTTCTTTCTCATTCTGCATCTGGGCATAAACATTAATCCCCGGGATCTTCCTAAAACATTAACAGAAACCATCACTGCTGTGCACGGGACACGGACATCGCTGCGACAAATGCTTCTGAACCTGTCATGGGAGAAGGGGGAAGGGGGGAGACACGGACGGAGGGACACGCACCTTTTGAACTTGTAGATGACGAACACCGCCAGCCCCACAAACACCACGGACAGCAGCATCAGCATGGCGGAGCCACTATGGGTTGGAGTGAGGTCCACCAGCGGGGCTAGGGGAGAAAGCAAGGCATGGTCATGGTCACAAGCGGGCAGGTGGGTGGGCGTGACTCTGCGACAGGCTTGCACTGTTCACACAGAGGCACAGTGAGTCCCGGAAAACCACGTGGGACGTACACACAAGACGCACGTCACACGGCTTGACATGAAGATGCATCTGAGCCTGTCCCAGCCCCCAGAAGGCTCCAGCAGGCCTGTTCAAGAAGCACAGTGGAAAATTTAAAGCACAGACTCTGGAGCCAGACTGCTTGGATTCAAGGCCTGCTCTATCACGTGCTGGCTGTGAGCTCCTGGGCAAATTACTTCACCTTCATGTGGCTGATAGGGTGACATGAGAATAAAAGTGCACATCTCATTAGGTGTTTGTGAGGATCAAATGAATTGATGTATGTAAAGCACTGGCAACAGTGCTAGGCACATAGTAAGACCTTTATATAAATCTTAGCTTTTATTGCTACTGCTATTATTACTTTGAATCAATATTTATAATAATATAAGTATTAAATTTTCCTATACTCTGAATGAAAGCTTTTCCCACTAAGCAATGCAGAAAACCAGAAAAAAACATCAACAGGAATATTTTTATGAATTATCCAACCCCTCTAACACCTATCCCAGCAGCTGCCATATGAGAGAAAGGACTGGTTGCTTACATTTTTTGCACTTAGAAACTGATGGCTAAGTGAATATTTTACAAGGGCAGCTGCTCTGATGCTGGAGGAGGAATGTGCAGTCCAGGGTCGTCTCCATAACTTGCCCAAGTCCTGACAGCTCACGCCAGGAGGTGCCAGCCTCTCAGAGGCAGTGAGTTCTCCACTTGGGCCAAAGAGATGCCTTGGCAGCCATAAAAGATTCTCCCTCCTTAACTTTGCTTGTAGCGTGCAGCTCTGGGCAACACGTCTCTCTGCCTCCAAACCCTGCTCCTCTATCTCAGGGTCAAGCCTGCTCTACTTTAATGGCTTCGTGTGCAATTAATTTTTACCCTCTAGAAAAGTGATATTTTGCAAACATAGCATAGCTCCAGCATAAAAGGCAAAGCCACACGTACCCCTTAGAAGCCTGGATGCGGACCTTTACCTTCCATCAATCTAAGCAAAGCCTGATACCCAGAAATTCAGGTGACCTTTAAGCACCATTTTCCGTGGCTTTTCTCTGTTGAAAGCCAAGAGCACAACATTCTGGTCACCCAGCTAAAAAAATCAAGAATAGGTGACTGTAATGTTGATGATTTCAGACAAGACCCGAGACTGCTTCTGCTCTGTCTGGTTGTTGAAGAATTACTTCCCAGCCACGCAGTAACCACTACTGGAAAGCCTATCCCATGTACCAGTTTGGGTGAAAAACACAAGTCAAGCCCTTTTTCTCAGAAAACAGGCTTAGTTATTTTAGTAGAATCGGCTTTTAGGAAGCACTAAAATGAAGCAACCTCTGTGATTCTCTCTCCTCTGTGAGTCAAGCAGAGCTTAAGCTGTGAGGTATGAGTGTGTGACGAGACAGGAGTGGTTCACTGAATGGAACACCCAAGGCAAATGTGCTTCCAGCTCGAAATTGAAAACTTAAGGTCTCTTTCATTTACTTAGGCAAACACAGTGCAAAGGAGTCCAGAAATGCTTCAGAACTCGTACCACTATTGGCAGGAAGTCAGGAGGGAAAGAACACCTTCCATTTATCATAGACATTATTGCAATTGACTTTCACCAATGGAAGGTGGGGCGGTGATCATCACTGAGCAGACACGAACAGTGAGAGCCTCGATGGTTAGTGTCATTCCAAAGGACTCAGAAACAGTGAATGGAAGAACTATGACTTAAACCAAGTCTCTATTTCTCTCTCTCTCTCTCTCGCGCTCTCTCTCTCTCACACACACACACACACACACACAGTTTTCTATATACTTCAACCCTGGGCTAATTTCAGCAGGAGATATCTAAAATTTAAAAAGATATTTCTGAGAATGGGGATGAAGGGTAAAAGTAGATCACAAGAAGCAACTTAACAAGTGACAAAGTCAAAATATTATTAAGTTTTCAAAGGACCAGTTAGAATCCTAGGTCATTCACTTTTCAACATTGATGACACGTATATGCACATATATATGCATATGTGTGTATTTATGGGTGGTAGTTGTGCATAGAGAAATGGAGCCTCATGCACCCACCACCCTTCAACAACCCGCAGATAATGTTATTTCTACCCCCGTCCAGTGCCCACAAACCCCAACGCTGGATTATGTTGAAGCAAATCTCAGTGATCGTACAATTTCACCTGTAAGTCTAAAAGATAAGGTCTCTCTCACTCTCTTTCTCTGGACATTATCACAATACCGTCATCATAATTATGGAAATAATACTGGAAAGCTATTTTAAAGGTAATCTTCTAATGCAAACCCCTAATGTGACAGGGAACAAAGGGAGGCTCAGGGAGGAGCTCCAGATTGTAAGGATGGTTCGAGGCAGGTTAGCTTGATTAGCTGAGTTTCTGATTCCCAGCCAAACGCTCTTGCAGAAGACGCAGAAGAATCTCAGTGTTATGGAGCAACCAGGAAGAATACCGAGGCTGCTTGAAAGGGTTGGCATTTGAAATGAATGGAAAACTAAAGAGAGGAAATTGCTCTAGCCAGGCTCTCACTGACACAGAAAGCAAACATGCAAATGGACACTATTTCCCTTCTCTTCCCTTCCCCCTCCTGTCTCTACCCATCACAAGCTGAGGTCTTTCAATTCTAAACCAGTCCCACTCAAATCATCATTCATAAACAGGTGGCGTTAACAGTGTTAAATAATTAGCATATTACTTTGGGAAAATGAGCTTCTGTATCCTGAGTTCTAACATGTGTGCTCTCCGCTCCCAGCCCCACCCCTATCTCTGCATCACTTAGTCACTGCTTAGCGGCAAGAAGCAGGCAAGCAGGCAGCAGCGGTGAGAAGTTGAGTACCACTGCCCTCTGGGTCCCGGGGGTGGCTTCTGCTGGCTGATCTGTGCCTGAGTATAAACCGGACTGCCATTGCTCTACACAGCCTCAGATGCATGGCTTAGTTTGCCCAGCACTAGTAGGTGGGTTTGTGTGTGTTTTGCTGGGGAATGAAAACTTGTGATAAATGGGTTTTAGCTTGCTGTGTGCAATAAGCATAAATCAATCCCTCTCCAACTGCAGCCTAAACAAGGTAGAAGGGGCAAGTGCTGAGTGGTTTATTTGCCACTCTTCACAAACACAGTAAAGCATGGTCATGGGGTACAGCACGTGACTTAACGATTCTAAGTCTGGGGCTGGCGCACATCGTTTCTACAATCCTGCAGAAATGCACTGCGTTATTATATTCTACCCAAGAGGACCCAGATTGATTATAATAATAGTGCTGCTCACAGGAATAACAAGTCTTCTTGTGAAAAGTGGTTGATACACAGTGAGTGCTAAATACAAAGTCACAGCTAACGTGTATGAGAGAAGAGTGAACTTAAAACGCCATGTGTGGGGTGAGGTAACTGATATGGTCCCTTTTTGAAATCAGATTCTTACCTGGCCGCTTGCTGACAAGCTAAATGACTTACACTGAACCTCAGTTTTCTCGTCTGCATAACGGAGATAAAACTAGTGCCTGTTTTAGCAAGTTGTGAGAATAAAATAAGATGAAATTTATAAAGCACTGACAGGGTGTCTGGCACATGCCCAATAGTTTTAAAACTGTCATATCACTGCTATCATATTTCTGAAAGTGTATTCTACAGAGAACAAGCCCTGAAAAATGACTAGAGTCCATGGTCAGATAATTTTGGGAAATGGTATATGTGGCATTCCCCATCTTGAAGATTCAGTATATGAAAGCTGATAGCAGTCCTTCAGGAAAGAAACTCATAAGACTCCACCACGGAGTTTCACAAAGTCATTAGAGCACAGACCCTTTACAGACTTAGGTCCCACATAACACACTTTAGGGAATGCCTCACCTGGAGCATCACTAAGCCCTTTTGCTGCAGCCTTGCCCCTTTGGGTTATTTCTAAGTTTTAAAGTCAACAATATGGCAGCATCACCTGGTGAAGCCCCACAAATACCCTTACTGCTGTCTGTATTGACTCTCATTCTATCAAAGGGACTTTCTTGGAGGACTTCTACCTGCTCTATGACCTTGGAACTTTGAACTCGTACTGCATTTCTAATCCAGAAGTGAGTGCTGTCAAGAAGTTACAAAAGCAAGTTCAACTTTGTCATAACTTGCTTTTATTTTTCCTCTCCTGTCTCCAAAGCAGACCCAAGCCAGCCTTTACTTACATGCCTTGAATATCATAAAATCCATGTGGCTGAAATCTCTTTTTCAGAAATTAAGGTTATATGGGAATGGCACGGAGAACGTTTATCTAGACCATAGAAAGGGTTGACAGGCCTTTATGACAGAGCACCTGCATTTGTCTCATAGCCCTTCCTTCCAGTTCAAGTCCAAACCCAATCATAACAGTCTTAAGGATTGCTACAGCCTCTTGATCATAAAGCCATGATCCTGCAGGCCAGATTGGGTGGGAATTCCCAGGGAAGGCTCTAATGACTAGTGAAGCGTGGCTACTAGTTTTAAACTGAACATGGGTCTTCAGGAACACCTAGTCACCTCAGGTTGAGGTCACTTGGCCAAATAATGACAACCGTGGATACCTCAAAGGCCAAACTTATCACTGTAACTGACAGACAGGAAGAGAAGGATGCCTTTTGGTTTTCTAGGGTGGCAAGTCAGTGAGGTATCCTGTTTACTATGTAAAGCGTTTCTCAAAGTATAATTTCCCGACCACGTGAATCAGAATCACCTGGAGAACTTGTGAAAACGCAGTTTCCTAGGCTTCACTTGAGAAAAAATATATCAGTCTCTGAGAGTGAGTCCCAGAAATCTACGTGTGGAACAAGCTACACAGGTCATTATTATGCATACCAGCTTGAGAGTACTGTGTGGTAAGCCCCTCCTACTGTCACTCATAAAACACCCAGTTCTTATCTTTAGAGTGTGCCTG